GAGACTTTTTGGCCAATCGTGACATCTACGAAGGGCGCTCCGAATCTGAAGGCTATTTGGAACATTTTTGAACTAGATTGCAGAGTCAGTAAACAGGCATCTTTGCATTACAGAAGTGGAAAGTGTACATAGTGAGCTGTTCAGAAACAATATCCTTCCCCACAAGTCGGGTTTTATGATAGAATTCGCGCATGTGCATTAGGAGCAAGGCTGCGTGCCTAATTTTCCATCAACCAGCCTTCTATCGTCCAAAAATACCTTCAGGGGCAACTTTATCGGGGTGCAGCGGCGCAACTGGACACGTTGATCAGACGTCTTGAGAAGCTGCTACCGATATCGCCTACAGCTTCAGTGGCTTCTTATCACGAAGCCGTCCGACTTTGTCGAGATTCTCGATTTAACGCTTCAATGGAGTTGACCTGCGTCTCCGTTGGTGTCTTTCCAGAAAGGAGATAGCATGCTTGTGCAGATTGCCGGGAACCCCGGATTTGCTCAACGCCGTATTCGGTCGGGAAGCATAGTAGCTGATGATAGGTGCTTGGTACGGCCCGAATAGTATACAACCAAGTCCGCCCCATGATGAGGTTATATGGCGAAAGGAGCTTGACGACCAGGAATTCCATTTCCACCGTTTAAAAGCTCGCCCGAACGGGTAACGTGATTTTTCCCAACGGATACTCCGGATTCGCGTTAAAGCCGAACAATGGATGAGGAGCCGAAGACAAGTCTGATTCATTGAAGCCGAGTTTGATGAAGGTCTCGTAATACATGACCTCCGAAATGCTCCCCTGGTCAACGAGGACGCGTTCAACGGTAAACCAGTTCACGTGTAGTTCAATGACCAATGGGTCAATATAGGGGAGTGTTATGCCGATAAGATCGGAATCGTCGAAGATAATGCTCGGCGCTTTGTGGGGCTATTTCGTTTGTACGCGTTGCATCTGGGGGGCTGAATGGATTGCATGTATGGTACGTGGCGTTAGAAGACTGTATATCATATGTATAACGCCGAGAGGAGGTGACTCCTGCCGAAGGGAGACAGTTTTGATTGTGCTTTTCCGGACGTGTTGCTGGAGCCGACCATCTTGGACCAATTCCTCAAGATGGTCTTTCAAGGCATAACAGTTGTCCGTATCATGACCATGATCTTTGTGATATTCACAACGTCTGTCCCGCCTTCTCGTGTCAGGAGGTCCCACCATCTTGGACGGCCATTTGAAGAACGGAAGATGTTGGATCTTGGGCATAATTGAGTTGATTGGCTCTGACAGCTCCGTATATTTCTTGTCGGCGCGCTTTGTGCGCCTACTATCGACCTGTAGTTGCTCATTGGCTTGGTGTGGCCATCGATCGCTGGATCGGCGAGAATCCCATCTCTTGTCTCGTTTAGCCCGCTATCGTGGTTCAGGGCTTTGAGGTGGTACGAAACTTATTGGCTGAGCGATTTCGGGAGGGACTGTTTTGTTGGCCACGTGTTCGGCTTTAACCAGCAAGGCGCCATCTTCCACTTTGCAATATTCCTATACTTTCTTCATCAACCCCCAGACTGTTTTGGAGAGTCTTCTAGTCAAGGAACTGTGGAGGGCACTATCTGGGTGTAGTCCCATTTTGAAGGCAGTGATGGCCATGGAGTCGTTGCAAGCGTCATCGACAAGGTTAAAGCATTCCTAATATCGCGCCGAATAAGCTCTTAATGTTTCTTCTGACAGGATTTGCATTGCCCAGAGGGAGTCGGCTTGCTTTGGCTGGACTTCGTTGGTAATGAATCTAGCCTTGAAGGATTTCTGTAGTTAGTGGAAGGTTTTGATCGAAGCCGGCTCTAGTTTATAATACCACCGGACCGCCAATGGTTCCAAACTGCTAGGAAATATTCGGCACATGAAGGCCTCATTGTCTGTGTGCAATGTCATGGCCTGCTTTGTAGTGGTGGATGTGATCGGTGGGGTCTGATTTACTGTCGTACAGGATGAACGACGGTGCTTTAAATTTCTTTGGTAGCGCAGCCTTTGCAATCCGTCGTACGAAGGGATCATGTTGGTCTTCGTCCGAACTTTTCCTTCTTCGCTTCTACATTGTACGGGGACTTTCTTCAGAAGAACTGGTGGTTTCATGTCGTCCCTTCTTCCTGGGCTCTGGGGATAATAAGTTGGAGTCGCTATCAGTGTCTTGTTGTGCTCGAGGTTGTCGACCACCTGCCTTCGGAGATCGTTTCGGATTTAGGCGTGCAGCTTGTTTGGACTTCGCCATTTCCAAGGCCAAATCTTCACGAAGACGTTCGTTCTCAGTGATCATGTTCTCCAGCCTCTGTTCATTTTGTTTTGCCTATTCCATGATCACCTGCATTGTCTCGTGCTCCGAAGTCAAGGGTGAGGCGAAATTCAAGGCACGTCGTACGGCGATAGTCTCTGGTCCAAGTAAGTTTGTTGGAGTGATTTCATCGTGAGGTATAGGGTCGACAGTGACTGTCGGAGGATCTTCCGTCACGCTCGCCATGGATGTACTTGAGTATTCCCATAGACGGTGCGAATTGTGGGGAAGTGGTTTGGAAATATTCTTCTGATCCTGAGGAGCGCTCGAGATCCTCTTCTGGTCACCTGAAAAGAAGTAAACACTCCGGTCGGGGGTGCCGGAATTAGCACTCCGACAGACAAGTCAGTCTCTACTCTCAGGATTACTTGTATTTTATGCTAAGTGTAATAGTTCTCACATACCTTTCTCAATCGGTTATTCCTTTATTTATACTTATTCCCTGGGCTTCGTGACCAGGCCCATTTGTCACTCGTTATTCTCCTATTTATCCGGCTCCACAATTCAGTATTTACTCGGCCTATTAATTATATTCGGCACTCTCATCGTGCAGAGTAGAGCCGTGTAATATCTTCCTTCCAGAGTGCGCTTCTAATTATTCTAACTATCCAGCTCCTACATAAACAAATCTTAATAGTATATTGGTAATTTACCCTTGAATTTTTTATAATGACTTTTAATTTTTTTTAATAAAGTAAAAGGAGTTAGGGGGATGCACCAATAAATCCCAAATTAATAACTTATACACTGTTTAGTCCTAAAAGTTTTCTTATAGACTGAAAGGTCCCATTACAATGTTTCAAACATCAGATTAATGTTTCGAACATTAGATTTCGAACATCAGATTAATGTTTCAAACATTAGATTGATGTGCAAATGGGACTAAATGGAGCATAAGAAAACTTTTAGGACTAAATGGTTCAACTTTTCAGAAACTAAGACTTATGGGTAAATTTTTCAAAGAGTTATATATTTTAGAATAACTAGTAGCTAACCCATGCGATACACGGGTTAAACATATATGTTTAAAAAAAATTATAAAATTTAGTTCAATTAGTTATATTTTTGAATATATAAAATATTTAAAATAATCGTTAAATTGGAGAAAAAAAAGAAGTAATAATTTAAATTTTAAATAATGATTCTAATTATTTATTTTAATCGTTTTAGTTGTATCGTTTCATAAAAGTGTTACTTAAATCAACACATATATTAATTTTAAATAAATTATTTATCTATATTTTAATAATTTTATCTCTATCGTGTTATAAAAATGTAACTTACATATATATATATATATATATATATTTCATAAAAATAAATATTTTTTATATTTAATTTTTTAAAAAAGTGAAAAAAGTATAATAAAATTAATTGGTAAAATATTTTTAGTATATGTAATTCTATTAAGTTTTGTTTATGGGTAGTTTAGATTATGTAGAAGTCTTATAAATATTAAATTTTAGAAAGAATTTTGGTAAGGGTATATTGATCTGGAAATTTTAATAAAATAAAATTAAAAAAAAAAGATATGCACTACATAGGACAGAGAAAAAAGTTAAAAATAGACGGTACGTTTTTTTTATATTTATTTTGATAATCTTAGTCATATCGTTCTATAAAAGTGATATTTACATCAACACATACGAGGGGAGTGTTTGTAATTTGTCCTAAAAATTAAAATATCAAATAAAAAATTAAAATATATATAAATAATATATTATAATTTGTAAAAAATATTTTATATAAAAAAAAGTGTATTAAAATTTTAAAATTGTACTCTTAACCAACGTTTTAGATTGGTGGTTAACCAAACACCCTTTTAAAATTTATTTTTCTCATATTTCAAAACAATTACAATTGAAATTTTAATAATATTTTGAAATTCTTATAAGATTTTCACATTATATCATTACGAATGTATAATTTTTTAAAACTTTTTAACATATTCTTAATGATATAAATAACTAGACCCATTCTTAAGTCAGTGGAAAATTGACTTTTTGACTTTTTTTTTGTGATTTTTTTTGGTTTTTTGTGTAAAAAAAATATAAAGGTGATGTAATTTAAAAAAAACTAAAAAATTGATTTTTTACCATGTTGCCAAAATTTACAGGGCATTCATTAACAAAATGAGGCTAAAAGTGGTTGAAATTTCAATAAATCTTTTACATATTTTAAAGAAAAAATTACAAATATGTGGGATAGTGGTATTATGGATAGAATCTGTTTTTATACAATTTTAATTAGCAAAAAAAATGTACACCCAACACAAGAATAAATATACACTATCCATGCCATGAAATTCAAATTATTCTTCTACTACTCCATTAAAACACAGTCTCTCCTATTTTAACTTAATTATTTTTTTAGAGATTCCAAGATTCAACTCCACCTACTTGAGTACTATTTCAATAGACAAAAAGATTGAGACAAAACACCTTTTGATCTTTCTATTGTTTTTCCCAAAGTGTATATCACTTTCCCATTTAATTATGACATACCCGTTTCATCATAAAGAAAAATGTTTTAGGGCCACAAAAAGTGTGGTTCAAATGGTTCAAAATTGTCAAAATGACGTTATTTTGTGTCATTTTACACCTAAAACGACGTCATTTTGACAATTTTAAGCCATTTAAACTATACTTTTTGTGGCCCTCTACCATTACTCCATGATAAATACCCCAAAAATCATATAATAAATGGACACAATTATTAACTCCAGTCTCCAATCAAACAACAAGGAATTACGCTCTCCACACCACTCCATCTCAACATCTATTCTCTTTTAACTCTCCATACAGAGAGAGAGAAAAAAATAAAAAAGAGGGGAACAGCCATCGCCACCACTACTACCACCCACCGTCATCGTCGCTATCACCGCCACCATCATGGAAGAGACAGACCAAAAACTGAACAAAAAAATGAAGAGACTTCTTTTCCTCCTCAGCACCCTCCTCCTCACCATCGGCAACTGCGGCGGCCCGCTCATCACGCGCCTCTACTTCCTCCACGGCGGCAAGCGAGTCTGGCTCTCCAGCTGGCTCGAAACCGGGGGCTGGCCTATCACCTTCATCCCAATCATCATCACCTATTTCCATCGCCGCCGCAAAAACGGCCCAACCACGAACCTCATCGTCATAAAACCACCAGTGTTCATCGCCGCCGCCGTGATCGGGCTCCTCACCGGCCTCGACGACTACCTCTACGCCTACGGCTTGGCATGGCTCCCCGTCTCCACATCGTCTCTAATCATAGCCTCGCAATTAGGTTTCACGGCGCTATTCGCGTTCCTACTAGTGAGGCAGAAGTTTACATCTTATACTATTAATGCGGTGGTGTTGTTGACGGTAGGGGCGGGGATACTGGCGTTGCACTCTAGCGGTGACCGGCCCAAGGGGGAGTCGAATAGGAAATATTATTTAGGGTTTTTTATGACGATAGCGGCGGCAGCGCTGTATGGGTTGATATTGCCGATGGTGGAGCTCACTTATAAGAAAGCCAAACAGGCCATTACTTATACTCTGGTTTTGGAGATTCAACTTGTCATGTGTTTTTTTGCCACTCTTGTCTGTACCATTGGCATGCTTATCAATGAGGATTTTCAGGTATCTCTCTCTCTCGGAATTATTTTGTCTGTTTAAGAATTTCAATTAGATCGTATACCCTCTTAATTTTATTGATTGTTTTATATAATATATAAGAGAGAAAATAAGAAATAAGATAATTATTTAATAATTTGAGAGTACAGATACATAAGACTTGTTTGGTTTGTCTCTCCGGATATAATTTTTGAGAAAAAATTTTTAAAATTTTATTTGGTTCAAATTTTTTTAAAATTTCTTTTAAAAATCATTTTTTTCTTTCTTACATATCAATCAAATTTTTTTAAAGAAATTTTAAAATCATTTTTTCTTTCTTACATATCAATCAATCACTTTTTTTCTCTTTTCTCATTCTCAATCATTTTTTCTCTCGTAAACATCTACTCAATTACAATAAAATATCAAATCATCTCAAACTCTCAAACTCGAAAATTATTTTTAAAATATATAACCAAACAAATCAAAAAAAATTCTAAACTCTTTTTTTATTTTTTATTTTTTGAAAATTTATATCAAAATACAAACCAAACACACCCATAATATTCTATGATAATATAATTAGTAAAAAATATTAATTATTTATGTTAAGCAATTAAAAAATATAAATAAATGATTATTAATGAAAGTGTATAATCTTATAATATTTTAAGAATACTTAATAATTTTTTCATAAAATAGTAGATATATAATCTATAGAATTATAATCACACACCACATAATGGGCCGGCATAATTTTTCCTCTCCCGCACACTTGCGGGGCCTGTATATATTCTTACATGTATACCGACAACAAGATACACACCAATCAAGACTACAAGATACACCAATCATGATCTTGTGTCTTGTTCACACGTTTTCCAACGTTAATTTTATAAGTGATGCTGGGGTCCTTTGAGAGTGGGTTAACCCACTTCTCACATTACAATTCACTTTTCTCTCGTATAAAAAATTAATTATAATTAATTTTTAATCACTTTTTAATCAAAAAATTAATTATAACTATCTTCTCAAAATATTCCGCTATTTGTTTTTTTATCATCATTTTATGGCTTTTTTTTTAAGAAGTTGGTTAAAAATTACTTCTTAATTTTTTTATTCATTTTTTATTACATTATTTCTCATATTTGTTTATATAGTTTTTTAAAAAATAAAAAAATTAATTTTTACCCATCTTTCCAAAACACTTCTATATCGCTTATATTCTTATAATAAATTAAAATTTTAAAAATACAAGTTTAAGAACGAAAATATTCTTTATAAACGCAATAATTTAGTTGTTAAAAGTGTTATTATTATATTTTTTAAGTGATAAAATTAGATATTTAGGAATGAATTATTATTCCTTTGGGTCAATATTTTTGTTTTGAAAGTAAATTTTTTTTTACACGAAATTATTTTATTGCTAAAGATTCTATTTTTTGACTTAACAACGATTTAGTAACGACTCACTTCACCGTAAAAATTGATCTCTTCATTTTTTTGCAACGAAAATTTTACTTTTAAAGATAAAAATATTTAATTCCTAAAATCATTAAATAAGATATTGTGTAGATACGTTTGATTAGTTTCTTATTTGAAACACGCATTGAAAAAATCATGAAGACAAATAATATATTACCATCTTAGTTACTATGTGCATGTGATAGTTGCTATAGTTTATTTTCTGTAAAGAAATAATACTGTCATATTTTCAATAAAGAGATGCTAACAAAATTTATCCGAATATCCAATTATTTGAGAAAAAAAAGAAAAAAAAAAAACCAACAACTTCTCTTAAAACATAATTCATGAATTTACTCATGATGACTGATATAGAGTAGTCCATGTCCAAATTTAGAGGTCATATTTTAAAATCTCAAGCTTTTTTATTTTTAATAATTTAGGCCCTAGGAACAAAGTTAAAACCTGTTTTTTTTTTTTTTGGTAATTTGAGTAAAAAGCAAAAAATTGACTTTTTTTGCGTCAAAATCATTTGAAAAGATAGCTAGTTAGCTAAAAACTACCTGTGAAATTATAGTTATACACTCTATGGGTCAAAATGAGCTACATGGGTCAAAATGTAAATTTTTTAAATTGCTATAATATTTTGATTATTTGATTATGATGTAACAGAATAAATAAATATTAAGTAGAAAAGTTAAAAAGTAGTTTTTTACGAACTTTCCAAATAACTTTATAGAAAAGCCAAAAAACTTAATTAAAAATCTAAAATTAACTTTTAATTATCTTTTTAAAACACTTTTAGGTCTCGTTTGGAAATAAATTATTTTAATAATTTTAAATTTTTTATAAAAAAATATATAAAAAAATAAAAAAAATGATATGATAATTTATAGTGATTTTTTAAGTAAAATATTAATTGCCAAAGAGGCTTTAAGGTTACTTTTCGGTACGAGAATTTGTATCTTTTCAACTTGCAAAAGCGCTTTTCGAAAAGTTGAAAGTCCAATCCACGGACTCCCACAATCGCACGGCTATCTTGAGGTGTGGTTGGCTATCTTGAGGTGTGGTTTGGAAGTGGGTTGATTTTTTGATTTTTTAATTTTTTTTATTATTTTAATCTAAGTTAAAATGTTTGATTTGAAAAGGATTTTTTGGTTTTTTTGATTTTTTTTTGTAAGAAAATAGTATAATGATTATGAGTTAAATGTGATGTTTTGTTTTTAAAAAAATGTTTGGTAACTTAAAATTTTGTGGCTCAAATGACTCAAATCTGTCAAAACGACGTCGTTTTACACTCAAAATCTGTCAAAACGACATCGTTTTGAGTGATTTGAACTATTTAAATCACAAAATTTTGAGTTACCTAATATTATTATTGTTTTTGTAACTAAAATAACCAAAAAAACTTATGACCCACCTTCCCAAACGGTGCCTGAATCTGTTTCTCGTTCTCTTTTATTTTACTTTTTGTCTTTTTTTGGTGTTTGCAAATCACAATTAATGGGTTTGATTTCAGTGTTTTAAATTTAATTTTTTAAAAATTAAATTATTATTTTTTATATTTTTTATTTTTAGTGAATATTTTTAAATTTTTAAAAATAAAATTTGTATCAGAGTGTTTAGTGCAACTTTTACTTGTATAGCTAAGCTTACGAGACACAAAAAATAAAAAAAAAATAAAAAAAAATAGATATTTAGACGCCATATGCATTTTTTAGTTTTGAAAAATAAAAACTAAAAATATTGATTAATATGTTTTAATAGATATTTTTAAAATTTTAAGTAATTTTTTTACATTTTAAGTAATTGTTTTATTTTTTTAAACACACCTTACTTGTATTTATTTAGATAATAAAATATTTGTAAAATAATATTTTAAAAAATTAATAAATATACAAAAATATGAAATATGTACTGAATTTTCATATTTTTTTTAATATTTTTGATATTTAGTAAACTTTTTAAAAAAAATTCACAAATATTATAATTTTTAAGTATATTTATTTTAGGTGTGTCTACAAATTACAAAAAAAATTGTTTAAAATATTAAAAAAATTCATTAAAAACAAAAAAATAAATGAAAAATAAAAAAATAAATTTTTTTGAAAAATATATTCTAGAAACTAAAACCAAAACTATAAATAAACTGAATAATATTTCCAAACTCCTTGCAAGTTTGATATACCTACACGCGTATCCAATCACCCATACTTTAAAATGTGTGGATTCATCAATCAAGGCTTACAATGTGTTGTGTTCCCACTTCTATTTCATTTTTGCCACTCAAGTCATAATTTTGAAAATTTTAAGATAACAGTCTTAAACTTTAATATTTTGAGGTCACAAGAAATAATAATAATTTAAAAGAATATATTAACTCTATTCATATATTTATATTCATTATAACTTATCTGTTCGTCAACCACTAATCTGTTCGTCAACCACTTTTGATCACTTTTCAATGACTTTTTTAGCATTCAGTCAGTGGTGAAGTCAGGATTTTGTTTCAGAAGGGGCACCTTTGAATTAAAATATTAACAAAAATCATAATTTAACTTAATTTTTATTTGATGGTAGGACTAAAAATTCATGTGATGCAAAAATTATATTTAAATATAAGGTCAAGTTAACTAATCACTATCTTTATTGCTATTAATTTACTTTATATATGATGATCATCACGGTTTAAAAAATATTTACATATATCCTCATAAAATATGAAAACAAAATTATACTAAGATGAACACACATAAAGAGATATAGTGAGGATAAATAAATAAATGAGAAAATGATGAATAAATAATATACAAAGGCTATTATATATTACTTGTTTTCTTTCACCGTTTTGAATAATTGAATTACATGGCAATATATTATTAGTTGTCATTAATTGTGTAATAATTATGTGTCGTATAAGAGATGATATAAAATAGTGACAAAATATTAGTGATATATAACATTTCTGTATTATAAAATTTATAAGAATTTTTTTTAGCATAATTAAACATTTAAAGTGATAAATTAAACATTTTTTTATAAAAAAAGTAAAGAAAATAGTGATATAAAAATTTCAATATATTACTTGGATTAAATTAAAATATATATTTTTATTAGGGATAAAAAAATAAGTTTTCAAAAGTTGAGGGGGGCACGTGACCCCTCTGGGCCTCACGTGCCTCCGCCCCTGCATTCAGTTGTCCTGCTCTACTGACTAAGTAATGCTTAAACAATACTCCTCTTCCATTAACAAATTGACACTTAACACTTTATCTCCTAAAATTCTAATATGAAAGTGATAAATCCCATAATTTAGACTAATAATTACTCATGTAAAGCACCACTTAAGCATACTCCAAGAGTTTTGAATAATTTTCTTCGCTGAATATACTCAATAATTTGTTTTAGTATTAGCCCAGCCAAAATTTTGATTTTGCTATTGCACACATTTACAAAGAAAATGGTCACCCCAAACAAAATTTTGTATGAAAATCTCATCTAAAATAATGTAACAAAAGGAGTATTGAAATTATGAACCATTTGAGCAAGTGTCATGATTTGAAATTTTTGTACAAATATTATGTTTATATAGAATATGACAAGGAAATGGATCTATTTACCTCAAATAAATACATTATATTCGTAATTTTAATACAACTTAATTATTTGAAATGTTTATAACTTCTTTTATTTTGAAAGTTTGTGTTTAGATAAGCTTACATTTTTATTAAGCCGGAAAGAAGTTTAAATAAGCTATAAAAAAAATAATAAATAAAAAGTTGATTAAAAATGTTCGGCGTCACCCTTCTTTTTTTTTTGTTTTTAAAAAATTTAATACCCGCCAAATATATATATTTATATATATATATAAATTTATATTTATATATATATATAAATTTAGTGGTAGGTAGACCCAAGTTAAAATCATGTGTCCATCCTACAATAAATTTCATACTCAGAGATAGCTCAGCCTGCCATAGAACTTTGTACCAATTCACATAAGGAAAACGTCACAAAGATAACAATGAAAATGATGAATCCACCCAAATTTCTCAATCAAGATCCTCTCCTTGAGCATTTTTCTTGGCTTCTTACTCATTAGGCTCATTTTTTGGCTCAATTTCGATAATTTGAATAGTTCATATTATAAGATTTGTTGAGTATATCATACCTGTAAAAAATCAAGTTGATTGAATATTAGAAATCATGTATTTAGAAAACTATTTGTTAAATTTTTTAAAAAAATATCTTTCAGTTTGATGAAATTTAAATTTTTTTAAAAAATAGTTTTTAGTTCGATGATCTGAACACGTAGTTTCTATATCTGATTAATTTAATCTTTTACAAATATAATATACTGAACAAATTTTAAAATATAAATAATTTGAATTATTAAAATTAGATAAAAAAAAATAGACCCAATGACCCAGTAAAAAAAATCAAAGAGAGAGTTCAAGGATCTTAGATTCCAAATTTCCTCCCACTTCTCGGCACTATCCAACGTAGAAGTCACAGCCCTAGTCCAATAAGTCAAGAATATGGACCATATGAGATCACATTTTGTAAAAGTGGCTTTAAAAAAACTCAATATCTCTAGTAAAAGTCTTACCTTTGACTGGACCCAAACTAGGTATATCTTCAAGAATATGAACCATGGGAGATCACAATTTTGTAAAAGTGACTTTAAAAAAACCCAATATAGCTAGTAAAAGTCTTACCTATGATTTTTTTTCTTTTTGGAACAAGTCTTACCAATGATTATTCACCCAAAAAAAAGTCTTACCTATGATTCGACCCAAATTAGGTATATCTAGATATTTATAAAGAAAAATATTTTATATCATTAATTTAACACCACTAATACACCACTAATGACATGATATCATGTGAACTTCACTATTAACATGATAGTTTGACTTCTTTTTTTTTTTTTTTTGTGTGTGTGTGTGTGAATTTTTTAAATTTCTTAAGAAAATATTTAGATTTTTTTTTTTTTTGACACTTGCCAGTTCACTAGTAGTACTTTCAGAGCTACTGATAGTGCTCTAAATCAAAACTCATTTATAAACGAATTCGTGCTGATTGCCTAACTTCGGATACTTTCAAGGTTCATACTACAGCAAACCGAAAAGAATTTCTTTTAAAACTGCACCATAAATCCCCAGAGAGAGAGAGAGAGAACTTGCCATGAAAGAGACCTACTACCAACAAACACAAGACCACAAACACAAGAAAGCAAGGTTTTCAAAAGTTCTAAAGAAACTTTGGGCATGTTTGATTGGATGGATTAGCATATGGGATTGGAATTATTAATTCGTGAGCCCAATTATCTATGTTTGTTTTAACATTTTGGTTTAGGATTATTAATCCAATGGATAATTAATCTAACAAATTTGTAAGATTATTAGTAATGGGGTAGGAGTGAGATTATTAATCCAATGGATAATTTATCCAATTGGATAGTGAATATCATATTAATTTGATAGAATTATTAATACCTCACTATTAGTCATGTGAATCAAACATAACCTTTAAGCTAAACTCAAGATTTTCAAAAGTAATTGTGCTTTCAACAAGAAAAGTTCATAATAATTGAAACTAACACATACATTCATATTTTATAGGCAATTCCAAAGGAGGCAAGAGCATTTGGACTTGGCGAAACAACATATTACGTGGTGGTGGTGTGCAGTGCCATAATTTGGCAGTGTTTCTTCCTGGGTGCAGTAGGAGTCATCTTCTCTGCCTCGTCTCTTCTCTGCGCTATCATAATCGCCGTTCTACTCCCCGTGACCGAAATCCTTGCTGTCATCTTCTACCATGAAAAGTTTCAAGCAGAGAAAGGGGTTTCTCTTATTCTCTCTCTCTGGGGATTTGTTTCCTACTTCTATGGTGAGTTCAAACATAGCAAGCAGCAGCAGAAGAGTGAAGAAACTCAAACTTCAGAAACAGAGATGCTGCAGACAACTACCGAACCATGATTAAGATAAACTACACCAATGTTCTCCTAATTTTTGTTATACGCAATGTTCTCCTAATTTTTCTTACATATCACTACAGCTTCTGTCAAACGTAAAATTTAACCTATGGTAATTTAAACTTGATGTTCAAGATATGTAATAAGCTTGTACATTCTTTTTTCAGAGTTCAAGTGATGTCGGAAAACCGTACACATATAAACCATCAGCTAAGAAAACATGAGAAAAGCCATTTATATTACCTCATCTTTTAAAATTTGCAATATTTGCTCTCAAAGGAATAATTTTGTCGGGATTGCACACGTAGAATCACACAATCATGTACAAAATCCAAAAAGAAATCACATAGAGAATTACGTGGTTTGATACAAACCTTATTCTCTCTAAACTGTGAAGGAGTACAAACCCTACTCCATTCTCTCTAAAAGTAAGCCCTTTCCCCCCAATGTTCTAACCTTAGAATTCTCGCACATATGTTTGGACCTCTTGGTGGATTCCAAACGCCACAACCCAACACAAAGGCATGTACAAGTCCCATTATTATAGGGGACTACATAATACAAGAAACACGGCAGTGATATCTAAAAAGTAAAATATTTATGAAAAAATATTTTAAAAAATTATTAACTACACAAAATACGAAAAATATATTGATTTTTTTATATTTTTTTTGTATTTTTGATATTTAGTAAATTTTTTAAAGATTTTTTTCAAAATAATTACAATTTTTAATTGTATTTATGTTAGATATGTCTAAAAATTAAAAAAATTTGCTTAAAATATTTAAAAAAATCAGTAAAAACAAAAAACAAAAAATACAAAAAACAAGGAAATTTTTTTTCTGAAAAGTATTTTCAAAAAAATAAAACCAAACAAAGTGATTCAGTGTGTTTGGTTTGAGTTTTTTAGATTAAGTTTTTTGAAAACTAAATTTTTTAATTTTAGTTTTTTTTTTTTGTTGTTGTTTTTAGTGAATATTTTAAAAATTTTAAACATTTTTTTTTACTTTTTTAGATACACCTTATTTAGATATATCTAAAAAGTAAAAAATTTGTGAAAAAATATTTGAAAAAATTAATAAATACATAAAAATACAAAAAAAATTGCTTAAAATATTAAAAAAATTCATTAAAAATAAAAAAAAATAAAAATAAGAAAGTAGAATTTTCTGAAAAGTACTTCTGAAAAACTCTAACCAAGCAAAAGTGTTCAGAACAAATGCATATGTTGTTAATTGTGTCCACATTTGGTAATTTAATTTTGGATAATTATAAATACATTTTTTAAAATTTATTTAAAATACAGATTATATCTTATAATTTTAAGTTTATAACTACATAACAAATAGTCCTTTAATTAATAAATTATCAAGTCAATTAATAATTTTTAATTATACGCAATGTTCTCCTAATTTTTCTTACATATCACTACAGCTTCTGTCAAACGTAAAATTTAACCTATGGTAATTTAAACTTGATGTTCAAGATATGTAATAAGCTTGTACATTCTTTTTTCAGAGTTCAAGCGATGTCGGAAAACCGTACACATATAAACCATCAGCTAAGAAAACATGAGAAAAGCCATTTATATTACCTCATCTTTTAAAATTTGCAATATTTGTTCTCAAAGGAATAATTTTGTCGGGATTGCACACGTAGAATCACACAATCATGTACAAAATCCAAAAAGAAATCACATAGAGAATTACGTGGTTTGATACAAACCTTATTCTCTCTAAACAGTGAAGGAGTACAAACCCTACTCCATTCTCTCTAACAGTAAGCCCTTTCCCCCCAATGTTCTAACCTTAGAATTCTCGCACATATGTTTGGACCTCTTGGTGAATTCCAAACGCCACAACCCAACACAAAGGGACTACATAATACAAGAAACACGGCAGTGATATCTAAAAAGTAAAATATTTATGAAAAAATATTTTAAAAAATTATTAACTACACAAAATACGAAAAATATATTGATTTTTTTATATTTTTTTGTATTTTTGATATTTAGTACATTTTTTAAAGATTTTTTTCAAAATAATTACAATTTTTAATTGTATTTATGTTAGATATGTCTAAAAATTAAAAAAATTTGCTTAAAATATTTAAAAAAATCAGTAAAAACAAAAAACAAAAAATACAAAAAACAAGGAAATTTTTTTTCTGAAAAGTATTTTCAAAAAAATAAAACCAAACAAAGTGATTCAGTGTGTTTGGTTTGAGTTTTTTAGATTAAGTTTTTTAAAAACTAAATTTTTTAATTTTAGTTTTTTTTTTATTTTAGTGAATATTTTAAAAATTTTAAACATTTTTTTTAACTTTTTTAGATACACCTTATTTAGATATATCTAAAAAGTAAAAAATTTTTTTTTTTTTTTTTTTTTTTTTTTTTTTTTTTATGGTCGTCGTTGTTGTTGAAAGCATGATGTAAGTATAATTTTTCCACTCTAACGGTTTAAACATGAAGAAAATATCATGCACCAACAGAGCAACCTTTTATTTTTATTTTTTTTTATGATTTTTAGACTTCTGTAGCTGAAAAGTCAGAGTCAAACCAGACTGTATTTCTTTTTTGAAGAAAAAATATTTATGTTTAAAAAAAGAAAATTATTTGCCACTTGTGCATTGTCACGTCAATAGTTACTAGTATGTTCATATTGGTATAGGATTTTTCATTCTAAACTGTGAATGATGAATGAATGGTATGTCCATATTGATATGGAACTCTTTATCCTATAAAATGTGAATGCTAATCATTGCTGTTGAGACGTTAGTTAAAATTAAAATATCAAATATCAAATAAAAAATTAAAACATATATAAATAATATATTTAAATTTTTTAAAAATATTATATAAAAATAAAAAAACGTATTAAAATTTTAAAATTGTATTCTTATTCAACGTTTTAGGTTGGTGGTTAACCCAACACCCTTTTAAAAAAAAAATTTCTCATATTTCAAAACAATTACAATTGATAGATTATATTTTGAAATTCTTGCAAGATTTTCACATTTAGATGATATCATTAAGAATGTATAATTTTTTTAAACTTTTTAATATATTCTTAATGATGTAAATAACTAGATCCATTCTTATATAATCTAATAATTATGACTATGACTATTTACGGGCATTCATTAGCAAAATGAGGCTAAATGTGGTTGGAATTTTAATAAATATTTTACATATTTTTATAAATTTTTTACATATTTTAAAGAAAAAATTACAAATATGTGAGATAACTGTATTATATATAGAATCTTTTTTCCTTTATTTTTTTTTACAATTTTAATAAATAGAAAAAATTTACACCAAACACAAGAATAAATATACACTATCCATACCATGAAATTGAAATTATTCTTCCACTACTTCATTAAAATACAGTGTCTCCTACCTAATTGAGTACTATTTCAATTAGGGGTGGGCGCGGGTCGGTTGCGGCCACGAAACCTCCAGTCCGCCATCCGTCCGCCAGATTGGCGGATTGAAGAAAATCAATCCGCATCCGTCCGCTAATCCGGCGGATGTGGATTGAGCGAATTGACGGTTTGGCGGATGGATACGAATCGGTTTGGGGGTTTAAAATTTTATAAATTTTCAACATAATTCAACTTGTGCACTTCCTCAAAAAAAAAAAGTATTACAATCAATGACTTAAAAAAGTATTACAATCACTGTATGCCTTATCCAAAGAAAGAAAGTTTGAAACTTTAGAATATCACGATCACTGCATGCCTTATCCACATATTACAATCACAGCAAGATTCATCCACATAAAGTATTACAATCTGTGATTCTTAAAATATAATAACAATTCAAATCACCAAAACCATGAACAGAACAGTAGTAAAGATTGTATGTCTCTGTATTGTTACATCTGGGCGCGGGTCGGTTGCAGCCACGGAACCTCCAATCCGCCATCCGTCCGCCAGATTGGCGGATTGAAGAAAATCAATCCGCATCCGTCCGCTAATCCGATGGATGTGGATTGAGCAGATTGGCGGTTTGGCGGATGGATGCGAATCGGTTTGGCGGTTTAAAATTTTATAAATTTTCAACATAATTCAACTTGTGCACTTCCTCAAAAAAAAAAGTATCACAATCAATGACTTAAAAAAGTATTACAATCACTGTATGCCTTATCCAAAGAAAGAAAGTTTGAAACTTTAGAATATCACGATCACTGCATGCCTTATCCACATATTACAATCACAGCATGATTCATCCACATAAAGTATTACAATCTGTGATTCTTAAAATATAATAACAATTCAAATCACCAAAACCATGAACAGAACAGTAGTAAAGATTGTATGTCTCTGTATTGTTACATCTACATATGTTTTTGAAAACAAAAAACCAACCAGTATATATTATATTTTCTATTTATTATTTTTAGAGCTAGATTTAAAAACAAAAAAATATAGATAAATAATACGTTTATTTTTTTCAATTCAAAAAATATATTCAAGTTGAAAACTTTTTTTCAACAGAATATTTAAACTCCTTTTCAATTGAAAACACAAACATAATATTTATACAAATTGAAAATACAAAGTCCTATAAATTATTAGGGGTGCTCACGATTTGGCGGTTTGGCGATTCGGTTGCGGCCAAAGAAATCTCAAATCCGCCATCCGTCCGCCAAATTGGCGGATTGGAGAAAATCAATCCGCAACCGTCCGCTCATCATCACGTATCCGTCCAAAATGCGGTGGATCGGTTCGGTCGGTTTTGACAGATCGGTATATCCGCTGCTCACCCCTAATTTCAATAAACAAACCGATTAAGATAAAACATCTTTGATCTGCCTATTATTTTTGCCAAAGTTTTTTTTTTCTTTTTTTTGAACAGCAAAAACAACCCTTTATTGATGAAAATTGCCAAATAGGAATTACATCAAAAAAAGGAAGAGAAAGTGCAAAAGGCATCAAAGCAAACCGTACGATCCCAATTAGGTTGGCACCCCGAGGAAAACCCAATCATTTGCTAGCACACCACAAGGTTGAAGAGAGAACAACCACAAGATACACAAAAAAAAAACCAAAACACCAAAGCAGTCCACCAACATACTCCCCTCTGCATCAGTCCAGCAGACCACTTCCACAACCACCAACAAAACTCCCCTCTACATTAGACCAACATCAGTCCAGCAGACCACTAACATGCACCAACAGAGCAACCACCAAACATGCACCATCACAGCAGCTGGCCTGCTCAGATCACCCTCAG